CTGGGGAGGGGGCCTTCTGAGAGAGTCCAAAGTGGCTGGGGAGGGGGTCTCCTGGGACCCAGGCTCAGGCGCTTACCTCTCTTCCCATTATACTTACCAGAACTCCCCATCCTCCATCTTGATTTGGAGCTGCTGCCTGTGGGAGGGGTCTATCTGGTTCCACTCAGAGGAACTGAAAGAAGTTCCCAGGCAGAGGGTCAGAAAGGCACACAGTGGGGCAGCTAGGTGATGCAGTGCATAGAGCTCCGGTCTTGGAGTCAGGAGGACCTCAGACACTTGACACTGACTAGCTGTGTGACCCTGGGCAGGTCACTTAACCCCTATTGCCTCATCAAAAAGAAAAAAAAAAGGCACCCAAGGCCAACCCCCTGTAGCTGTTCAGGACCCTTTTCTGCTGGAGCCCATGAAATAGGGTAAAGCTCCAGTCCCAGCATCACCAGGCCTATGGGCTGGCTGGCCCGGTAGGCACCGCTCTAAAATCACAGCCCCTACTTACCTGAGTGACCCCAGTCCAAGCAAGGGCGAGCATCCACCCACAAGCCCCAAGATTAGTCTCCAGTCCCTGCCCTCCAACCAGGCCAAGATAGGGCTCAGACTCTCCCAGGAGGGATCTAGGGTTGGGGGTTAGGGGCAAGTAGAGAGAGAGCTAGCTAGGTGGCTGAGTGGATAGCGTCAGGCCTAAAGTCAGGAAGAGTTGAGTTCAAATCCAGCCTCTGACATTTACTAGCTGTGTGACCCAGGGGAAGTCACTTCACCCTGTTTGCCTCAGTTTCCTCATCTGCAAAATGAGCTGGAGAAGGAAATAGCAAACCACTCCAGTATTTTTGCTAAGAAAACTCCAAACAGAGACACAGAGAGTGGGATGGGACTGAAAATGGCTCAACGACAACGAGAGGCGGCTGACAAACGCACTGAGAAAAATACCCATGGAAAAGTATGTTGTCAGCGTGCATGAAGAATCAGAGATCCTGGGCCTCATCCCTGGAAGTCCCCCCTGCTGGTGGGAGTCACAGGCCCTCCCTGCCTCCGTGGATGGTCTTTGAGAGCTGCTAGGGCCCAAAGGAGTCAGCCTCCGCTGGCCAACCTGGTCAGCTCCCAAAACCGTCCCTTTCTGGGCACGCGCTCCGCTGCCGATGAGCAAGTATGACAGCTGACCTTCACAGAGCACCGGCCACAAGAGCTCTGGCTGTGACGATCCCCATTTGTTGTGGCTGTCCTTCAGTCACGTCGGATTCCTCATGACCCCATTCGGGGATCCTTCTCCAGCTCATTTTACAGATGAGGAAACTGAGGCAAACAGGGTGATGTGACTTGCCCAAGGTCACACAGCTAGGAAGTGTCTGAGGCCAGAGAGTCTTCTTGACTTCAGGCTCTCTATCCACTGTGACACCTAGCCACTCCTAGCTCCCATTTATAGATAAGGTAATTGAGTCTCAGAGACAAAAAGTGACTTGCCCTGGTCATATGACTCCCAGTCCAGTGCTCTACTCCCCACTGTAGGCCACCAGGCCAGGTGTTTTATCTCTGTAACTGCTGTACAAAGGGGCCAGTGATACCCATGTTTCTGTTACCCTCCAAGCAGTCCTAATCCAACAAGCATTTCTTACGTGCGTCAGATGTGTGCGTTAGACGCAGGGCTGGGGGCAGGGAGAGAGGAACAAAGACAAAGTTATAGCGTGGACTCAGTGGCACGGACGAGCAAGGCAGCACCCGACCACCCTGTTAAATCGTAATGGTCTTAAAACTCAAGCTGTATGTGGGAGATCCACAGTCACATAGGAAACAGGAAAATGTTCGTACGTTTACATTTGTTGAGCTCATAACAATATAAAGAAAATAATGCCTGTGTCTTATCCCCCATGAAACTAGGAGCTCTCTGAAGGCAGTGAGCAGATCTTAGCTAAACCTTAGATCTCTTTCAAAACCCAGCTCAGGGCTCTGCACAAAGGCGGTGCACACTAAGTGTTCATCAAAGGAATGAATGAACGTGGCCAAGACTAAGGATTTTAGGAAGCTCTCTGGGATGGGCAGGGAGTGGCAAGGAAGCCACCACAGCCATGTGAACCAGGTAACCTGGCCCTGTGGGATCCATTAGTCCCTACCTGTCACTCCAAGGCCCCGTCCACTCCACCTCACCCCACGGGTTCCGCATTCGAATCAGGTTCACTGAGCGGCCCCGACAGTTTACCTGGAAACCAGAGCCCCACTCAGCACAGCCCCCGCCTCCCCTCCCGAGTGAGCCTCCCCCCAGCCTCCAATCACCACTCCTTCCCACTAACCAGACAAGACACACAGACCCCAAGAGAGTGGCCCCACCTGTCTCCATTAGAAAGAATTGGGAGACTGCTCCCAGAGCGTTCTCCAAACCCAGCCCTGGCTAGAGCGGGAATCCCACCCAGTCTCCCTGCCCCTCCCCAGGGTTGGTGCTACCTGCTGGGCACCAGTGACGGAGTAGGCATGGCCCTTCACCAGCTTCTTGAAGGTGACTGCTTCCATGTCAAACACGCTGGTGATCTAGGTATGGCAAAGGGAGGATACCTCTCTCAAATGCTGCCGGCCCCCGCCCCAACTCCTCACCCACTGCCCTCAGCTCCATGAGGACCGGGCTGGGAAGGAAAGGAGGGAGGCCAAAGCGGATTGAGCTAGATAGAATCTACAGGCCCTCGCAGTTCTGATATTCTAGGAGCCTGTGGCTTCACTGAAGAATCCAGTCTTCTAAATACCTGCTGAGGGTCACTCTTTCTCTCTGCCTCTCTCTCTCTCTCTCTCTCTCTCTCTCTCTCTCTCTCTCTCTCACTTTGTCTCTCTGCCTTAATGATCATTCCCTCCTTCGAAAGGTAGAGGAAGCCACAAGAACTACTCTATTGCTATTGTGGGCCTGGCTATAAGGATGACTTGGTTGTTGAAACAGAAATCTTGGGGGAACCTTGGGGGAAAGTAAACTTTTCATCTTGGAACTCATGCTAGAGGAGATGAAAACTGGGCAGGGCTGGGCACAGCCTGGCAAGCACTCTGAGTTTGGGGATTTCAAAGGGCTAGGGAGGGTGCCAAAGACTGGAAGGAAATTCTGAAGAGACAAAGAAAAATTATTCTGACAACACAGAAAAGGAACTGTCCAAAGAGGCTGGTGTGGCTGCACAGGGAGCTGCGTGGAGGCTTGTGAGCCACACACAGAGGACAGAACCCAGGTCAAGTAACAGGATGAATGTCCAAAAGCCTGGCACAAGCTTACATACTGGGTGGGGGGGGGGGGTGTTAACGCTTAGAAGGAGCTGAGTCTAGTAAGTAAATCTAAGAAAAACGAAAAGAGATTGGTTTGTTTTTTAAGGTATATTAGGGAAAGAGAAGGGTCAAAGAGACTGGAACACTGTTCTAGGTAACCAACATCAGAATGGAAGCAGGGCCTACTCAAGTCTTTATTTTGCTTTAGTTGTTGTTGTTTTTAACATATACTTTATTTTTTTCCCTGCCACGAAGAATGATATCTGAACTGGGAAGGACAGGACGGAAATGGCTAATAGGGATTTGTGACCCAAGACAGGTAAAAAGATAGAAACAGAGCAACCCTCTGCCCCTGGAAAATGCACCAAGACACAGCACATCCTTGAGCCACCATCCCTGAGTCACTGGTGGGTGATATGGGAAAGGGGACACAGAACACGGCAGAGCCACAGGACTATGAAGGGGCAAATGTCCCCATTTACCAAAAAAAAAAAAAAGACCCAAAACAATGAAGCTCTCAACAATTCCATGAACACATGCACCAAATCATGACCAGTAAGAGAAAGGCACGTTGAAAACAACTCCCTGGCTGTGCCTCGCACCCAGCAGATTGGCAAGGAAGCCAGAAAAGGGCCGCCCTCAGGGGCAGCGGGGCTTGGAGGAAGACAGACACACATGTGCCCTGGTGGGGAGGCTGTATGAAGGGCTAACGTTCTGGCTCCGTAGGTAGAGATGTCCAAGAAAAGTGACTGAACTTGGGATCGAAAGAGCAGGCATCAAAGGAAGCCACGGACAGAAACGAAGGGCCGATACAATCGTAATGTTTGCAACAGCCTCAACTGGAAATAAAGGGAGCACCCACCCATTGGCAAGGAAGTGACTTAAAAAAAATGTGTGTGTGTGTGTGTGTATGTGTGTAAGGATATATATATATATGGATGTGTGTGTAAGGATATATGTGTGTGTGTGAGGATATATATACATATATGTATGTGTGTGTAAGGATATGTGTGTGTGTGTGTGTGTGTGGATATATGTGTGTGTGTGTGTAGGACATATATATACACACACATATATGTTTAGGAATGTAATGGCACATTATTGGCCAGGAAGAAATAAATGAGGAATATGAGCAAATCAGAGAAGCTTGTAGGAAAAGACGAAGAAGGAAAGAAGGGACACTAGGAACCCAATAGATACTACCCTAAGGATAGTCATTAGTGAATCTAGGTCAGGTTGCAAGAGGGCGTCCCCAGGGTCACTTGAGGTTTCTGGATGAAGGCACAGGTGAAATGCTCTTTAAATCTGCAGAGGACACAAAACTGGGAGGGCCGGCTAACAGGCTAGAGTACAGATACGATCCAAAATTATTTTGACAGGCTAGAAAATCTGGTCTAACAGCATAAAACAAAATGTAAAAGGAATATAAGTAAAGTCTAAGGTTCAAAGAATCAGGTTCACAAGTAGCAGATGGGGGGGATGGGGCAGAATAGACAGCAGCTCATGGAAAGGGGTCTGAGGGGCCTGGGGACTGCCAGGTACAGCCAAGAAAGCCGATGGATCTTCAGCGGTTCTGAAGGCATCCAAAGGAGGAAAGGGTTGGATGTGGACAGCGTGGGAACGTGTGTCTGCTTGTTTGTGCACATTTGTTACAAGTGCTTTGTTTTTCTTTTCTTTTCAATGGGGAGAAGGGAGCTTGAGAAAGAAAACAAATGCTTGTTATTTGAAAAATAAAACACATTGGGAAAAAATGGGTCTGAAAGGAGTAAGAACTGAGAGGTAGGAAAAGTCAGAAAGGGAGCAAGCAGACACATGAGGGCAGCCCCGGTTACTCACATCGATGGAACAGCCCAGCAGGGACCCCCGTTCCAGGGCCTTCAGAATGATGTGGTAGAGATCAGAAGGGGGCTTCCTGAGATCAAACCATTCTGTCACGCCTCCAGTGAAGTCTTCAAAGCCCTCGGAGGTGCTACCCCCAGAAAGGGCTTCATAGCTACCATTCACCCTGGGGGACAAGACAGACACGCACGGCTCGTAAGTCATTGGTACCCGTGGTGTCCAGGGATGGGTCCAGCTTGGATCAGGGAGAGCCCCTGGCAGGGTCCAGGGCTCCTGGGCTGGGAGGGGAGGGACTTACTTGGCATAGGCTTTCTCAAGCAGGGCACTCCAGAACTCATTGCCTTGGGCTGAGTGCACAAAGACCAGTTTCCCATCCTTGGTAGGCAGCAGATCATCCACAACTACATCGACCCACTCCCCAAACTGCCACAGCTGTGGGAGAGAAGGGGTGGGGGGTGATCTGTACTTCCCACCCCATTGGATATCCCTGACTGCCCAATAGGCCATGGGTCCTAAGGATACGCTGGCACAGAATGACCACAGACTCACCCGGGCAATTCCCCTCCATGAGCCTCCCGTCCTCTCCCACACCACCCCCAGAATACTTCCCCCAAGATATCAAGCTTGAGATTTATCAGAGTCATCCGTGATTCAGCCCTGGCTGCTATGAATTCTGTTAACAGCCACATCTTGGCTCTCAGTTCCACTTCTCCCCCCCCCCCCCCCCCGTGGAGACCAGAACCTCCCGCAAACCCTCATAACCACATGTGGTCTGTTGTGACCTGGCTTCTCTCCCTTGAATCTATTCAGTTCAGCAGACACAGGTGAAGCGCCTACTATGTGCGTGGCTTGGTGCTGGGCCATAGGGAAGATGTGAAGACTCCTCACACTTCCAGAGCCCACAAAGCCAATGATTTGGCAAGCCTCCCTGTTTCCACCCTCCATCTCTGCCATGGGCCCCCTTTGCCTTCTGCAGCCACCGCCTGGGGGTGAGCCACTCAGGCCCTCTGCACCTCTCACCTAGACTACCATGATTGCCTCCTAACCCAGACACAAATAGGGATTTTCCTAAAGCACAGACTGAACCTCACTTTCTGCTCAATACACTCGTCTGTGGCCGGTGTTCAGTCGTTTTTCAGTCATGTCTGACCCAATGTGACCCCATTTGGGGTTTTCTTGGTAGATAATGGAGTGGTTTGCCATTTCCTTCTCCAGCTCATTTTATAGATGAAGAAACAGAGGCCAACAGGGTGAAGTGACTTGCCCAGGGTCATACAACTAGGAAGTGCCTAAGGCTGGATTTGAACTCAGGTCTTCCTGACTCTGTGCACTGTGGCGCCCCCTAGCTGCCCTCCTGTTTGACATTTAAAGTTTGGCTCCATCGGACCTTCCCAGCCTTTTATTCAGGACTGCTCTTCTGACACTCCAGATAAACTGGCCTTTCCCCTAGTCTCTCTCAGGGTCTTTTGCATAGGCTGGCCCTGAGGCATAGGATGCACTCCCTCCCTTCGAAGCTCTAGTTTCATTTCAAAGGTCAGTTTAAATGCTGCCTCCTTCATGAAACCTTTCCCAGTCTCTTCAAGAGGCGGGCACCTCGTCCTTCTCCCCCCCAAAATATGACCTTTATTTACTATGTATTACCTACATTTATCTTTGTATTTGTACAAATGCATTCCATACCCATGCATGTGGTACCAATACACCCAGGCAGCTAAGTGGTACAGCAGATAGAGAGGGCTAGGTCTGTGTCAGAGAGACCCAAGTTCAAATCCAGTCTTAGACACTTACTAGCTGGGTGGCCCTAAGCAAGCCAGGCTGTCAAGGAGAGGCTATTACAAACTAGTTCGGCTAGACTAGATAGTGATTAAGGAGAACAAAGAGAAATCAGCCTAGAGAGCTGGCTGGAGTCAGACTACTGCCCAGGAGGACCTTCGGCAGCAGAGCCAGTAGGAGCCTTCGAAACAAGGAGGGAGCATCAGCCCTGCAGTCAGGAGGACCTGAGTTC